TATGTGAAATTGTAGTTTATTAAAACGTGGTACTGTTCTACATAAATAGGAAGCAGAAAAAAATGTTGAAAGATACAGCAGCAGCGCGGGGACAGAAAAGCGCTACAACTACTTAATAGTAGCGCGTGTCACCCGCGCTACTGATGGCATTAAAACCTGCGCTAGTAGTGGTAATTCCGGTGAATCAATAGATCTGATCCTTTTCACACAAAAATAATACGGTTGAAGGCGGATTAAACATACAGACCATAAATGTCAATGAGAGTATCAAGTGATTCTAGTTAAGATCACCTCCAAACAAGTCGGCGGTTTGGGATCGACTGCGATCATGAAAGCAAAAGGTACAAACCAAAGAAAAAAAGGCCAGGATTTGTTCATACAATCATTGCGAAGTCAAAGTTGAAACTTCTGTGCACCGGTTACAAGTCAAAGTTGAAACTTCTATGCAGTGGTTACTCTATCAAGAGCATCGTGGACGGAGACATGGCTTGAAGGTTATGTGTAGTGTTTCTCTAGTGCTTGTCACTGGTCCAAGCTGATCTTCACGGGAGCAATGCACACAACTGTCAGTGAATCCAAGACGATGGCTTTCTCGGGTCAGACTGAGTCCCGCTACCCATTCGCCGTCTCCTCATAGGCAATCATGAATGGCTGGTGCATTAACAAGAAAAGCTTGGTCGAAGTTGTTGCTCTTCGACGTGTGTGGCATTGTTCAAGATGCGGCTTGTAGATCCGTTTAGGGCTGGCTCCTTTGTGTTGTGTTTGTAGTAGATGTGATGTCTAATCGTTTGATTAGCTCGGGTGTGGAATTTCAACTATGTTTGTTCGCAGCAAGTTGTAGTCTCCTCTATTTGTCTTCTGTCTTTTATAAAATCAAGATGATGTCTCACGCCTTGCTGTGGGAACCTTGCTGTGGGAACCTTGGTAAAATGTATGCATAAATTTTAAAATGCTCTTGAGATATATTTTGAAAAAAAATCAAGTATATGAAGAATATGACAAAATGTTGTGTAAAAGAAGAGACTATTGGGCTGAAGTCTCACGGGGTGCCATTTTTAACAAAAATATGAAACATGACCTACATATATTTATGAATATATGTAGGTCATGACCTATATATATATTTGTGAATATATGTAGGTTATGCTACAAAGATGTGTAACATGATCATCTATGCCCGCACAAAAAAAGTGAAGCAAACTAACATGCATGCTTGTTGAGGTGGCATGGTTGCACGAAAAGATTAGTGCATAAATTGTAACTTACGACCGCACATTAGATCGTCATGCAACTATTTAAAAATAAAGGATATTTAAGAATAGATGATATGAAACACATTTGCATATTCGCGAAAAAAACGCCGGAGAAACAAATAGTGTAGTACTTGAAAAAAAATGCATAGTCCAAGCAAACCTTTCGGTGTTTTGAACCGCAAGGACACTTTCACTTGGTTCACCGCGTGTCTTCTCCACGGGCAAATGCCAACCGCCAAGTCTCTTTTGTGCAAAACATGTAGTGCTCTTCTTTCTGGTCACCCCTCGCCGTCCTCGGTCGTCACGTCGTACCCACTGACACGTGGGACCCGGGGCTGACGTAAGTGCGGCCAGCTTATCGCGTGCGCGTAAGCGTATAGAGCGAGCCAGCCATGGATTACGTAGCAGCGGCGAGGAAGGACGGGCGAGACCCGCTAGAGCCAAGGCATTTGATGCACGGATGGATGGATGGATGGATAGAGCCGTCGCAGACGGACGGATGGGCGTTGTCTGTTGGCCGCCACCGTGGGCCTACACGTGTAGCACGTGGCCCGCACACGTGGTGCTCTGCGTGACGGAGCGACGCCGCCGGATCGCGCCCGATCGGGCGTGTGCGTCCCGGAACCGCACGGGGATAAGCGTGACTGCGTACATGGTGGACCGGTTCCACGGAGCCCCTTTGCTACCGGCTACCACCCCGGCGCGCTATCGCTTTGGATTCGCTGGTTGGACTTGGATGGCTGAGCTTCTGATTCGGCTGGCCCGCAGCTAGAGATCGAGATAGAGTCGTTGAGTCCATAAAAAAGGACAGTTTTTTTTCCTTTTCTCCACCGCGCAATGGAAAATGCGGCTCGAGATTAACGATTTTGTTTTTTTTGTAGTACACGATACGTACTGCCAGAAAAATGTGTTTTCTTCCAAGGAGATAAGGTGTGTGCATTAGTTAACACATTTCTTGATTAGTTGCGCGACCGTGACGTGATGTGATCGGTTGGGCCATAGTAGAGCGGGGGATTTGGGGCATTCGCGTTTGGTGGCTCCGGTTTGTTTCCGAAGGGGAAAAAAGGCCATCACCTGCCGCGGCGCAGCAATCGGGCCATGAATGCGACGTCTTCTTTCTTTCCTGCTTGCTTTGCCTTTCCACGGTCCATGCCCGGCAGCGGCAGCTCCGGACCTCTCGTTCTCCTCCTCCTCTACGTGGCGTAGGCGCCCGCACCGGCAGCGTTTCAACACGTCTCCGCGCAGGCGCAGGGGCTCCTTCGCGGCGAAGCACGGGTCGCCCTCCGTCGGGCAAACGACCCGACCTGCTGCAACAGGGTAGATGGATTCCTTTTTCACTACTTGTAGCGGCTAGTTTCGTCTGCTGTCAGCGCTTACGTGCGCGTCGGAGGGCACGGCACGTTGCGCGTGTCGCGGCTTGGCGGGCACGAAAGCTTCCGTCCGATCCTCGTCCACCGGGAAAAGTCGGGTGCGGCCGTGACCGCAGCAGCACTGCTAGAGCACGCGCTCGTGTCGTCGTGTCGTGCCTGGTGGCAAGCGGAGGAGGGAGGGGCGCGCGGGCGGCGAGAAGGCCACTCGTTTTGTTGCGCCATTTTTTTTCTTTTCTGCCTGCCGAAGGAAAGCAAAAGCGGGGATTGTCTTTCGATCTGGTACTGAGTGCGTACGTGATGTTGGTTGACTCACTCGTCTGGCTTGCTTCGTTGCCGAGCTGGTCTCTTCCTTCTTTGCGATGTTTCCGATGTATAGGTGGCTGGCGGTGCGCCCAAGCATCTGACGGCCCCGATGTTTCTTCTTTGCTCGTGGACGCTGGTCAGGAACCACGCGCGGGGCAAAGGGGTAGCTCACAGGTAGATGGCCCTCTGGGCTGGGCTGCGACGGCTGGGGGGAGCGGCGCGAGGATGAACAGGGAGGTTGGGCTCGGGCGCACTGTGGTCGCGCTCTGGGGCACGCCGCAGTCGTGGTCACCATGCTAAAAGCATGCTCTGGGGTGCCAAGGGGTTTAAGACCTTGTCTGGGAGGTTGTTCGTTGCTGGTTTGAGCATCAGGGAGGGAGGAGGGCCACAGGCTTGCGATACGATAGTGCAAATGTTTTCAAGCTACAAAACAACAGCAAAATGTTGGTGCTTGGCAATTGGTCATGATCATCAATCCTGGATCTAAAGTTCCTCTCAGGTGGCTTGTTTGGGATGGGGATTCAACTTGCAAAAATTCGTATAAAAAGGGTCGGTGAAAAATACACTTGTTTCACAAAGCGCCAAAAAGGACAGGGGGGGTTTTGGGTGCTCTGCTCCAAACTAGAGCAAAGTCTGGGTCCAAGCTTTTGCTTATATATGCTTTATATGCATATATACGAGAGTGTCTAGAAATAATTTCAGAATTTCAGCATCACCAGAAAATATAGGTGCTTCACAATGGCATCAAATGGGCAGAATGGATTCTAGGGGCTCCATAAAAATGAGATAAATCTTGGGTCATTGCTTGGTGGATCTGGCAGTATATTCATAGGAGAAGGTCCATGAAGCTGCGGACGAAGCATTCCTTCAGAGTTTCAAGTGTATCCTCTGAAACAAAAGAGGGTTTCAGTCAGAGGTAGAAAACGCAACGTCCACTATATACCACTAATCGTCCACCAAGTGAACAAAAACATTGTCATAAAACTAATTGGTCGTTAACACAAAACAAAGGAAATCCATGTGGAAAACTGTCATGGATTGATCGTACAACAAACGTTCACTACACTATCAATTAATCGGTATCAAAGGATTGAAATTCCTTGTACGAGTTGCTATGGATGTCAGCAATAGGTCAATTCAGGCAGTTGAAACAACAGGGAGGGATAAGAGGTTTAGCTGTGGTTCTAGGAAGCAAAACTTAGACCTAACAACAAACGACATAGCCACCAGACTCACAAAAAGTTTTGTGGGTACTGCTCCAAGGAACACCCTAAATCCTTACTATTAAGAAGACCACTAGATAAAAGAAGGTAGAGTCAATTCTTCAGTTCAATGAAGAAAGACACGAGCCATATAAATTGCAAACAGTTGAGTACTGAGAAGAACCAAGAGATAACAAATAAAATAAAGCAAAGTCAATTCCTCAGCCCAATACAATAGACACATGATGCATATTAGTTGGCAAACATTTGACGATCTCAAGTTTTGCATCAGTTTGCGTAGGATTCAACCTACACAAAAAGTAATATGAGGGTTGGACTAGTGCGGATGCATCCCACCACGCTCACTCACTGCTGCTACACAAGGGAAAAAAAATGCTAATGCATTGCTGACCGGTAAATCATAGCTTCAAAAGAGCTCAACATCCAGATGGCATTATCTTTCCTCAGAGAAAAGAAGAGACTATGTTACTTTAAAATACTAGTAGTCATGCATGTACCTGTTGTTCAACAGTCCACTTGCAAGAGCTGAATTCAGAACTTTGCAAACATTAGGCCAACATTTACCGCTGCCAGAAATTAAGCACCAGATTGCATTGCTAAGTAGGAGTACTAGTAATGCAAGTAAGAAGTGGGACACACAAACCAAGTAATAATTAAGACAACAAACGATAGTTCCACTAAAGGTGATCTTACCTAGGATCAACCTGTTTCTTACATGTTGCAAGGCAAGGCATATCCAAAATAAAAAAGCAGGGGACTAGACAGTAATTAGGAGCAATTACTTATTGAAAGCATAGCCTTGTCAGTCGGTCATCGAGATCCTCAGAGTCGAACGAAGATCTGCCGGCGCCTTATGGAATCTGTTGCAAGGCCAGCTGAGAGTCCGGGATGTTGATGGTGTAGCTGGAGAGAAGGTGGATGATCGTCGAAGGACGGTCAGCAACGAGGACAAACTTCTTGTCCTTCTTGATGAAATCGGCAGTTTCAGAGATCTTCTCTACTTTTCTGTCCTTGATGTCGCACTTGCATATACTCCCTCCGTCCGAAAATACTTGTCATCAAAATGGACAAAAAGGGATGTATCTAGAACTAAAATACATCTAGATACATCCCCTTTTATTCATTTTGATGACAAGTATTTCCGGACGGAGGGAGTACGAGCGGACGAACCCAGATTTTCAGTGTAGTAGATGCAGTTTGCCTCAATGCCTAAGAACTTATCAGCATCGACAGCCAGGCACCTCTGATGACCAATGAAAATGGCATAGTTGTTGATGGTATCCACATCCTCCATCTTAAAGTCTTTGTCTGTTTTAAAAATAAAGAACGATACCTCTGCACTCCCGACAAGCAGCATTTCTCTACCCAAAGCCACTGGAAAACAAAGGTGGTTTGCATCTGGAGTCATCAGCAATCTGCATAAACGAGCAATCACGACAAGCCCTATAGTGTTTGTGTAGACACCGCCCACGAGCGCATTACGGAAGAAAACATAAGCTGCTTGCTGAACCTTGTGGACGACGGAACTCTTATTGTCGGGATAGGCCGAGTAAATCTCGTGAGATGAGTCGGCGAACAAGGTGAGCTTGAGGGCAGAGTTGGCAAAGGAGACAGCAGCGTATCCCACCTCGGGGGGCACAGGCGCCATGAAACGGATGACGACGCCGGTGAGAGGGTTGAGGACGCTGGCAGAGTGAGGAGGGCTTTTGTCCGCCAGGACCAAGTAGCCATTGCGAGTTGTGGCGACGACGTAGTGGTCGCTGAGCAGCGGGAGCTTTCTGTGGAGGAAGCGGCCGCTTTCAGTGTTCAGCAGGAGCAGCTTCCCTTCGCTCTGGAAGTCCTCGTCGAGGACGATCCACCGGCGCGGCTGGAAGCGGGGGTCGGAGGTGTCCCTCATGGGGTCGTCGGTGGCGGCGCGCCAGCCGGGGCAAACGGCGCGGAAGTGAATGTAGCAGTCGATGTCGTTGGTGGACAGGAGGGAGTCGCCGACGCGGCGGACGAGGTCGGGCGGAAGCGTCATGGCCGGAACCACCGGCGAGGCTTGGGGAAAACTCGGGTCTTCCTTAACACTTTTGGCCTGCGGAAGAAGAGCAGGGGTGGCCAAGGGCGGCGGAACGTCCCCGGGCGCGGCCGCCATTGCCGCACGCACCAGTTCTTGCAACATTAACGCGCTCCTTCTAGTCTAGTCACAAAACCCCAATGTCTGACTCTGATCCTCCCTGTGAAAAACAAAAGGCACGGATTTTTGTAAATAAAACTGAAAATTAGCAAACAATCGCACATAAAGGAGGAACTGGAGCAGGATTAAGCTACCAGATCTACAGATCAGAGCGGCAGCAGAGCAGAACAGATGAGATACAAACGAAACGGAGGAGGATCCGGCTCCGGAATGGAGAGGGGGAAAGAGGGGAGAAGCCGAGAAGCAGCAGCACGCCCAGTCCGGTCGAATTCAATGCCGTGCGTCCAAACTACTCTTACTACGGTGTCACGCTGAAATAGATGCAGACATACATAATGTCTGAATACATCTATTTATCTACTACTCCCTCCGTTCTAAAATAGATGACCCAACTTTATATTAAAGTTAGTACAAAGTTGGTTCATCTATTTTAAAACGGAGGAAGTACATCCGTAATGTCAAATACGCTATAAAACGGAGGGAGTATTTCGGTAAGTATAATTTCAAACAGAAAAAGTATTATTAGTCTGGTTTTCGAAAAAGCTCAAGCGAAAATAGTACTCTCGATATCGCCATGTAAAATATACATGTTCACTCAGGTAGAGTAGGCCATTTTGAAGGCCAAGCTGTCTGGCTCTCGTAATCTCATCCATGCCTTGAGGCGTTGTGACGTATGCGGTATGCCGCATGTATTGCCACTCTTTATATACGGTTATTAAATACGCAGGGTGTCGTGGGCTGCTGTGCTTGGTTTGTACATGTGTGATGTGCCTCGTGTGCCTTGATAGACTGGTCACCCCTTTCCTTTACCGTGCTAGACACAACCCTTTTCTTCATGGATGGGATGGAGTTCTTCCTCGAGAAGTGTGATTCAGGGTAATCTAGTGTTAGATCTCGCCCGTTTTGTCCTGTCTAGCTTTCAAATTCGTGTGGGAGGGAGGGTGATTTTTTTTGTCTCATCCCTATTTTCACCTCGGTCGGTGACTATATAAAATAGTTTGTTCAATTGGGTTTGGTTGCTTGTTCTCTTCCAGATTAGACGCTGGAGGTACCTTGGAGGAGGTAGTCGCTGGAGTGCAGGTGATCATTTTTTTCTATTCCTATGTCTCGCGCAAGATGATCGGATGTCTTCTGATGCAGGCAATAAAGTAAGACATACTGGGGAAAAGAAAAGAGAGTTTGCAACTAGGAGAAACCATAGTGACGGAGGAGATTTTCGGCTCGTACAATGCTGGTAGCGAGTTGGTTGCCCGCTTCAAAAGACTTGACCCCTGAGAATATAAACGTTGGGTGGTCGTGTCACACAAGGTGCCTACTGTACGCTAAGGTAATTAAATTCGACAAATCAATTATTTTTTACATTGCAATTATAGCTTGTAACGGGCTAATAGGTCCTTATCTGGAGATGAGTAGCTGGTTACAAACATGCAATTTAGAACAGTTTTCCATGTCCCTAATCAGAAAACATTAACAAGTTGGTTATTGCCTATTTGTTGTGATTATTTTGGCATAATTAGAATTGGCAAGGATGGAGAGAGAGAGATGGAGAGAGAGATGAATCACAGCAGAGTGACTTCTCTTCAGTGTTCGATATGTGCCTATGCTGGTAACAAGACAGTAATGTTATTAATCTAGCTTTCTGTTGGGAAACATAGCATGCAATTTCAAAAAAAAAAATCCTACACTCATGTAAGATCTATCTAGGAGATGCATAGCAACGAGAGGGGAAGAGTGTGCCCACGTACCCTCGTAGACCGAAAGCGAAAGCGTTAACTTAACGCGGTTGATGTAGTCGAACGTTTTCTCAAATCAACCGATCAAGTACTGAACGTACGTCACCTTCGAGTTCTGCACACGTTCAGCTCGATGAGGTCCCTCGAACTCTTGATCCAGTAGAGGCACGAAGGAGTCGATGAGTTTCGTCAGCACGACGACGTAGTGACGGTGTTGGTGATGTGATCCGCGCAGGGCTCCGTCTAAGCACTACGACAATATGACTGGAGGAGAAAACGGTGGAGGGGGGCACCGCACACGACTAAACAATTGATGTCCATTGGGGTGCCCCCTGCCCCCGTATATAAAGGAGGAGGGGAGGAGGCCGGACACAAGGGGCACACCAAGGAGGGGGGAGTCCTACTAGGACTCCACTCCTAGTAGGATCCCCCCCTCTTTTCCCTTCTTCCAGAGGGGGGAAAGGGGGAAGGTAGAGGGAAGAGGAGAAGGAAAGGGGGGCACGCCCCTCCCCTAGTCCAATTCGGACTCCCCATGGGAGGGGGGCGTGGCCACCCCTTGTGGGCTACCTCACCTCTCTCCTATGGCCCATATAGGCCCAACAATTCCCCGGGGGGTTCCGGTAACCTCCTGGTACTCCAAAAAATATCCGAACCTTTTCGAAACCATTTCGGTGTCCGAATATAACCTTCCAATATATCAATCTTTACCTCTCGACCATTTCGAGACTCCTCATCATGTCCGTTACCTCATCCGGGACATCGAACAACCTTCGGTCACCAAAACACATAACTCATGTAATACCTATCGTCATCAAACGTTAAGCGTGCGGACCCTACGGGTTCGAGAACTATGTAGACATGACTGAGACACCTCTCCGGTCAATAACCAATAGCGGAACCTGGATGCTCATATTGGTTCCCACATATTCTATGAAGATCTTTATCGGTCGAACGGCTATGTCAACATACGTTATTCCCTTTGTCATCGGTATGTTACTTGCCCAAGATTCGATCGTCGGTATCTTCATACCTAGTTCAATCTCGTTACCGGCAAGTCTCTTTACTCGTTCCATAGTGCATCATCCCGTAACTAACTCATTAGTCACATTGCTTGCAAGGCTTCATATGATGTGCATTACCGAGAGGGCCCAGAGATACCTCTCCGATACTCGGAGTGACAAATCCTAGTCTCGATCTATGCCAACCCAACAAACACCTTCATAGATACCTGTAGAGCATGTTTATAATCACCCAGTTGCATTGTGACGTTTGATAGCACACAAGGCATTCCTCCGGTGTCCGGGATTTGCATAATCTCATAGTCGGAGGAATATATATTTGACATGAAGAAAGCAGTAGCAATAAAACTGAACGATTATTATGCTAAGCTAACGGATGGGTCTTGTCCATCACATCATTCTCCTAATGATGTGATCTCGTTCATCAAATGACAACACATGTCCATGTCTACGAAACTTAACCATCTTTGATTAACGAGCTAGTCAAGTAGAGGCATACTAGGGACACGGTGTTTTGTCTATGTATTCACACATGTATCAAGTTTCCGGTTAATACAATTCTAGCATGAATAATAAACATTTATCATGATATAAGGAAATATAAAATAACAACTTTATTATTGCCTCTAGGGCATATTTCCTTCAGTCTCCCATTTGCACTAGAGTCAATAATCTAGTTCACATCGCCATGTGATTTAACATCAATAGTTCACATATGTATGTGATTAACACCCATAGTTCACATCGCGATGTGACCAACACCCAAAGGGTTTACTAGAGTCAATAATCTAGTTCACATTGTTATGTGATTAACATCCAAAGAGTACTAAGGTGTGATCACGTTTTGCTTGTGAGAGAAGTTGAGTCAACGGGCCTGCCACATTCAGAGTCGTATGTATTTTGCAAATTTTCTATGTCTACAATGCTCTGCATGGTGCTATGCTATGTCTTGAGCTTGCGTTGGTTTTCCTTGAAGAGGAAAGGGTGATGCAGCAATAGTAGCGTAAGTATTTCCCTCAGTTTTTGAGAACCAAGGTATCAATCCAGTAGGAGGCTCCTCAAAAGTCCCACGCACCTACACAAACAAACAAAGAACTCGCAACTAACGCAATAAAGGGGTTGTCAATCCCTTCACGACCACTTGAGAAAGTGAGATCTAATAGAGATAGTATGATAAGATAAATATATTTTTGGTATTTTATAATATAGATGCAAAAAGTAAAGATGCAAATAAAAATAGATTGGAAGCAAAGATGATAAGAGATAGACCCGGGGTCCATAGGTTTCACTAGAGGCTTCTCTCAAGATAGCATAAGTATTACGATGGGTGAACAAATTACTGTCGAGCAATTGATAGAAAAGCGAATAATTATGAGATTATATAGGCATGATCATGTATATAGGCATCACGTCCGCAACAAGTAGACCGACTCCTGCCTGCATCTACTACTATTACTCCACACATCGACCGACTCCTGCCTGCATCTAGAGTATTAAGTTCACAAAGAACAGAGTAACGCATTAAGCAAGATGACATGATGTAGAGGGATAAACTCATGCAATATGATATAAACCCCATCTTTTTATCCTTGATGGCAACAATACAATACGTGCCTTGCAACCCTTTATGTCACTGGGTAAGGACACCACAAGATTGAACCCAAAGCTAAGCACTTCTCCCATGGCAATAAAGATCAATCTAGTAGGCTAAACCAAACTGATAATTCGAAGAGACTTGCAAAGATAACTCAATCATACAGAAAAGAATTCAGAGGAGATTCAAATATTTCTCATAGATATACTTGATCATAAACCCACAATTCATCGGATCTCGACAAACACACCGTAAAAAGAGATTACATCGAATAGATCTCCACAGGAGAGGGGGATAACATTGTATTGAGATCCAAAAAGAGAGAAGAAGCCATCTAGCTAATAACTATGGACCTGAAGGTCTGTGGTAAACTACTCACAACTCATCGGAAGGGCTATGGTGTTGATGTAGAAGCCCTCCATGGTCGAGTCCCCCTCTGGCGGAGCGTCGACGAAGGCTCCAAGATGGGATCTCGTGGATACAGAAGGTTATAGCGGTGGAAATTGTGTTTCGGGTGCTCCCTGGATGTTTTTGGGGTACATAGGCTTATATAGGAGGAAGAAGTACGTCGGTGGCCGCCCGAGGGGCCCACGAGACAGGGGGCGCGCCCTGGGGGGGGGCGCCCTACCCTCTCGTGGC